GAACGTTGTCAGCCTTGCTCAGGGCCTAGCACAGCACTGGACACACATTATGTGATGGATGGTTTAGTGAAAAAATACAGCAGGAATGGAAGAAATGTTAGACTTCATCTTCTAACCAATAACATAGGAGATGAGTTTAGAATATAACATTAGGAGCATTTCTGCTTTCTAGAATTCTTAGATACTTTATGCACCTCAAAAGTTCATGCTGTGGGAATGGAGGTATAGGGAAATCAGGCAAAAAAAAAAAAAAATCCTAGGCAATATGAAGATACGTGAAGGACTCTGGAATGAATAGCATTGAGCCAAGTGTCCATTAGTTGAAGGAAATTGTTGCTAAAACCATTAGGGGGCAGATGCAAGAAAGAAAACACAGATATGACATTAATTTTCGAACTTGTTCCCAAGGGATTTTATGGGTACATTGGATTATGTAATGTAGTTTCTCTGTTGGAAATATCAGATGTTTATGGACAGTGAAATTGGAGAAGGATCCTCAACTCCAGGTCATCATGTTTGTATTTCTTCCTTGTATTTGTTCTGCTCTTTCCTTGTGTCTTCCGTTTACTGGATCCTTTTGGATTTAGGGCATTTTTCTTTCCCACTGCAGTGTTAAAAAAGCAGGATACAGAGTGTCATTCTTTATGGTAATTCTCCTTAAGGTTGCCTATAGCATTTTAATTTTTATTTATTTATTTAAAAAAATTTTATTTTATTTTCAGTATTCCAAAATTCATTGTTTATGCACCACACCCAGTGCTCCATGCAATACGTGCCCTCCATAATACCCACCACCAGGTTCACCCAAACCCCCACCCCCCTCCCCTCCAAAACCCTCAGTTTTTTTTTTTTTCTCAGAGTCCACAGTCCCTCATGGTTTGTCTCTCCCTCCGATTTCCCCAACTCACTTACAGCATTTTAAATTTCAGAAAATCAAGAACTTTATGCATTTCCCTTTGGAAAAAATAAGAAAAGATTTCACCTTAGTGGTGTGTCTTCAAGAAAGCTAAAGGCTTTTGTTTAACTCTTTCTGCTTTACTCTAAGGGCATTCTGATGATCACTTAGTGTGATCTTCTGAAGTATTCCAGTCCCTGGAGCTGGCTCTTAGCTGTTCCCCAGGGAAGGACCAAAAGGTTGTAAGGCTGCAGAAAAAAAAATAGTTGGCTAAAAAACCCAGGGGCTGATTATTGGTGAGGGTCACCAGACACAGGTGGGGGAAGTAGTTACCTGCCTCCCTCCTTTCCTGGAGAAGATGAAGATGAACAACCACCACCTGCCCTGGGATAGTTTTTCTTGTTGTTTTTGGCTTTTGGTGTTTTTAAAAGTAGTCTCCACAGCACTGGAGAGTGGAGCCTATCGCAGGCTTGAACATACAACCCTGAATTCAAGACCTGCGCTGAGATCAAGACTGCTGCTTAACCAGCTGAGCCAGCTAGGCGAGCCAATGAGGCACGCCTGCCCTTCGATAGTTTAAATGGCATTTAGGAAGAGTGTGGAGATGTACCAGAGGGATCTTTTGTGTCCTTAGTAGCCCTTGGGACTATGGAAATAGTCCATGATTTTGGCTGGTTAACATTGCTGTGCAAGTCCTGTCTATTTAATCGAGGTTGTGGTGGGAGAAATAAATGACAGATTATGACTTTGGCATTGAATAAATAGGAGAATGCCTTGGGGATCTATTTTTAATATTGTAACTCTTAGAAATATGTGAATTGCTTCCTCTTCATCTTCTATCTAGAGGTTTAGTCCTCTGTTTTAGATTGGGGCTCACACAGCCACTTGAGGTTGTGCCCCTTATGTAACTATTATTCTGTGTTAATAAAGTAACAAAACTTTTAAATACCAAGAATATTTCAGTTGTATAAAAGTGCTTTTACTTTTAATAGTAACAGTCATTGTTATCTTCCCCCCTTCTCAGAAAAGGTGGCTGCTGAGCAATTCTTAAAGAGCATAGACTGAGTATAAAGGACACAGAACAAAGGATATCTCCCAGGGGTGAAATGAAGAAGTTCTGTAAATAGCTGTGCTATTTTCCTTTGAAATGTCTGGCACATTCCATGTGATATAGCGGTGGGGTACCGAGGGGCCGTGTGTCTAACTCTGATAGAGCGTTCCACGCTGACTCTCGGAGCCGTGCACACATGACAAGGGCATCTGGATCCTTCCAAAGTATTAAACTACTTAAATGACAAGTTTTTTTTTAATTTTGCATACATAATCCTGCCATATCACCTGTGTTCAGATAGTCACTCCTTCACCTTTGAACACCCAATTCTCTGAAAAAATCCAGCACAAGTAAGTGTTAGCTCTGAGCTGCTCTCATGAATTTGGAGTGTGATAAGCGAAACCTGCATTTTCTAGCAAGAAACTGGCACAGAAATGGGAAGTTTTGTTTCTTGGATTCATCTCATTACCTAGAACCTGAGGCTGTTCTGATGTCTGCAGGCCAAATCCTGCATGTCTTTCCTGGCCCGGCTTAAGTGAAACACCTGCCACAACGCAGGTTTGGCCATGTTTAATTCCCTCACGCTAGTGGTCTCACAGTTATGGTTTATTATTCTTCTTAATGGCGATTTCTCCATTCCTATTTTAAAATCATTTTAAACTTCTGTTCGTTTATTGTCTGTCCTCCTCCTCTTCTGATGGTGAGCTGGTCCCTTGGCCTGCACAGGCACACACTGCTTTCTTGTTACACGTGGTCTTCCTTTCAGTTACTACCTGGTGCTTATCAAGAATTTTTTGGCACCTGACATACGTAGGGCACAACCTATGCATTTTCAAGAGGACGCACAAGGTGGAGAAGGGGTCTGTTTCCCAGTGTTTGGCAGATTTGAAAATTTAATGCTCTGGGCAAAAGCAATTTGGGAGCTGAAAAATCATGCACATTTTAAGGAAATACCAAAAAAGAACAGTACTGTTGTTAATACCTTAGAGATAGATATAAGGCCATTGTGTCAATTTAGGAAAAACACATGTATTTAGATTTTAGTTTTTTCATATGTTTGCACGTTTGATACATAAGACAGATAGAAATGTTTACACTTTCTGCAGTGTGTGAGGGAACAGGAGTTTGAAGGTGGAGTGAGTTGGGGAGAGGGTGATATTTCTGTGGAAATTTTAGTAAACTTTCTGGGTTTTTTTTTCCCCACCTATGGAGATGACATAGGACACAAAACATTAAATGTTAATATTGATTCAAGAATTAAATCATGAAAACATTGCTGAGGAAAATGAAAAATCTACGGAAATGAAGAACTATGTCTTATTCATGACCTCATTTTGTTAAGCTGTCTGTTCTCACCAAATTGATACATAGGTTTAATGCAATCCCAATAAAAATTTGCTAAAATGTTCAAGGTGCATCTGAAACTCATATGGAAAGGAAAAGGAATTAGAACAGTCAAAACAACTTTGATGAAGAAGAACAAAGGATTAATACTGCCGGACTACCAGAGTACTCTAGGGCCACAGTAAATCAGGACAGGGTGTTAGCATCAAGATCAACAAATGAACCAGCAGATTAGAGGAGAATGTCCATAAATAAACCCACAAAGGTGCAAAGACCGTTCAGCTCTGGGACAGTCACATATCCATTCACATAGTGTGGTTGGAACAATCGGATATCCGTATGCAAAAAGGAGAAAGAACATAGCTTCAGGGGTGCTTGGGTGACGACGCACTCAGCCCCTCACAGCATTCTCACAAATTAATGCTAACTAGATCATAACCTAAATAGATCATAAACCTAAAAGCGACAACTATAATACTTGTGGAGAGGTGGAGAGGAGGAGAAAACTCTTGTGATTTTGAGTTAGGCAAAGATTCTATTTTTTTTTTTTAAGATTTTATTTATTTTAGGAAGAGAGAGAAAGAGCGTGTACTTGCAAGGAGAGGAGCAGAGGGAGAGGGAGTTAATCTCCAGCAGACTCCATGCTGAGCACGAAGCTTTGGTGTTGGAGGGGGAAAAAAAGCTTTGGTGTTGAAATTGTCATTACAACAGTCCACCAAATGCAGCTGTGTCAGTTATGCCCAAGGACACCCCCTGCTGAGAGGGTGAGTGGAGCTGAAAGCAGCCTGTACTTTAATGGCCAAGCCATGGGCCCGGTATACGTATGTGCCCGAGGAAAGGGAAGCTTCTAGTTAGCAGGAAGGTGTCTTGTGGGCTGCTTACGGTCCTGTTTCACACGTGTCTTAGAAGGTGATGATGGAGGCTTCCCCCCAGAATGCTGCCCTGCCATCAGCAAGCTTTGTTGTGAACATGTCTTTTCCCTTAAAGAAATCCAGTAAATCACTTTCAGCGGAAGGCTGTCTTTAACCAGAATTCCACAAGATACTACAGTGTGTGCTGGAAGAGAGAAGGCGAGCTTCTCCAGCTGCCCTCATGATGCTTTTCCTCCTCTAGTTGGGCTCAGTTGCCCTTAAAAGTGGAATGTAGGGTGTGGGGTTTTTTTGTTTTTTGGTCTCTCTCGAGGATGCCCAGTATCCCTTCTCCATCTGGATGCCATTAGTAACACCCTCAGCCAATGTTTCTGTGTCTGTATAAATAAACAAGTCATAGGAAAGGCAACTCCTGCAGCTTTTCTGAGTGAACTTTTTGCTGTTACTGAGCAGTCAAGTTTCCTAAAGGGAAGTCAGCCCTTTCACTTCCAAAGATGCCAAGTATGAAGATTCAACTTGGAAGCAAAGAGAAAATATTTTTGACAGTCACAACTTAGCTTCAAATAAGTGATGTCCAGATACTGACACCCACTTCCTTTCTCTCAAGCCTTGAGCCACCAGCGGACTCTGTGACAGAGGGTCACTGATGGTGCCCAGCAGCTGGGCATCAGGCAGCGGTCTGCCCTTAGAAGTGTTCTGTCAGGACCTTCAGCTTCTGAAAAATCTATGCCCCGCCTCCACCCCACCACCCCATTTCTTCTATGTGGTTCACATTTCTTTCCTCCCTTCGAGTTGTTTTCCCTCAGGAAACTTAAACCACGTCTCTTTCCTCTTTTTATAGATGCGAACTACACGCAAAGTCTCTGTCTGGCCAGTGGGCCTGGTTGGTGGGCGACGCTATGAACGTCCGTTGGTGGAAAACGGCAAAGTCGTGGGTTGGTACACCGGCTGGAGAGCAGACAGGCCTTTTGCCATCGACATGGCAGGTGAGGAGTGTGGGTGGTGACCTTTGCTCCTCCCCCATTGCTCTTCCAGGGGTCCTGTTTGTTGTAACAGTGTGCTGGAGGAAGGAAGCCTTGAAAGACCCTATGTCTTATTCTATTCAGCAGATAAACCAAGTAAACCTTCGAAACAGGCTTTTTGATTAATTCAAGTAGAAATGGACCTTACGGGTGCTTAGAAATGATTATTCTGTCCCATTTTAGTCAGCTGTGCATGCGGCCATCTCTTCAACAAGCGTGTATGTGCCGGGTGCTGGACTGAGTGTCCGGTCAGTGGTGGGAACCAGACTTGGCCCCTCCTCACCGGGGCTGCAGCCTGTGCCTTCTGGTTCCCCTCTCTCGGAGTCCAGTTGGTTTCAGTATATGACATGCTTACTGATAAGCTTAATAGTGATGTAAAATTGACAAGCTAATAATTTTCATGCTTAATTGATAAATTCAGTGCTTACTGATACATTTAATAGCTGAAACATAAAATTGGGTTTCTGGTTTTTCAACCATTGCTTAACTGAGTGTACCTATCTTTTAAAGTTTATATCCCCTGGAGCACAGGTGGCTCAGTCAGTTAAGAGTCCAGCACTTGATTTTGACTGAGCTCATGATCTCAGGGTTGTGAGTTCAAGCCCCACGTTGGGCTCCATGCTGGACGTGGAGTCTGCTTAAGATTCTCTCTCTGCCCTTCCCCCCCTCTAAAGAAAATGAAGTTTTTATTCTCTGACCAACCCATTGAATTGAGTAAGACCTATAAGTAGTCCACAAATCCTAGAATGCTACATTATCATAAAGTGACTTCTTTTCAGTGGGTTATATAAGACGATGCCTGTGGTAACTGTGGAAGGATGCAGTTTAAAACATGAGGCTTAGAGGCAAGAAAAATCACTGACATTTATAACCTAGAAGATGGAGGCAGAAAAGCTTCAAGGTTAATCTCCTCCATCTTCAACTCTAGAACACAGCCCTGTCTGTCTGTCTGTCATCCTGTGCTTGGTCAGACCTTTGTGTGTATTTTCCAACTGCACTCAGAATTCTGATGGGACGAAGACTGCATTCTGAACTGGATTCATCACTTTTATTTTGACGATCCTATAAATTTGAGGGAGCAAGATTATGAAGAGTGTGAGGAGTGAGAGTTGTTGGGGTGAGTTCTGGTGCATGACGCTGTGGGGGACCCCTTGCCCTGCATCACGGGAGGGAACAGACTAGGATATTTTTACTCAGTGTTTAAGAAACATTTCCTGAGTGTCAGTTTTATGGAAATGTATTTCATGGTCTCTGACCCCAGGGACAGTTTGGAGCTCTTACCCTTCCCTGGTCACCCTGTCCTGGGCTCCCCTCTCTATTTTCTGACCTCCCCCAACATAAGCCTTACCCTTTGGTCTTCAGTCCCCGCAGCCTCAGGGCTGAGTGCCGTCTTCACCAAGTCTTTCACCTGAAGGCAGACAGAGGTGAGGTCAGTCATACTTGGAAGGTCCTGAGGGTTCCCAAAAGAGGCCTTTCCTCAATGAAATGGGAGTTCATCACTCTGAAATGAAAAGGCTGTGTCTTTGGAGAATCTGGTTTCTTGCTGAGAGGAAGTATAACTCTGAGCAGAAAACTTCGAGAACATTAGACAAAGTCTTTTGCTTCCCTAGGACTTCGTTTCCCCATGTGTAGAATGAGATGTAGTGTGAACGACCACTGAGGTCTTCTCTGGTGTGTTCTTCTTTCTCCAGGCTTCTGTCCTTGGGAAGCTCAAAGAGAAGCCAGGTCCCTGGTCCACCCCCCCTTTTTTTTAAAGATTTTATTTATTTATTCCTAAGAGAGAGAAAGGCAGAGGCAAAGGGAGAAGCAGGCTCCCTGCTCCACAGGGGCAGGACTCAATGCGGGACTTGATCCCAGGAGCCCATGTTTTTTTAACCTGAGTGGAAGGCAGACGCTTAACTGACTGAGCCACTCAGGTGCCCAGGTCCCTGGTTCCTAAGTGAGGAGTTGAGACTGCTAAAGCAGCCAGCTGATAGGTGTTTGGCCCTTACCTTTCCCAGAGCCTTGCTTCACCACAGGCTCGGCAGGCGTGTCTCCTTATACACAGGATCTCTGCCCACAGCCCTGCAAGGTAGCTTCAAGGTGAGGACAACTTGGATTAAGTCTTTCTGGATTTTATTATAAGAACTTTTACGTAGATGATCAAGTATCCGGTAAATCCACTGAATATTTGCATTGATTCCCCCCAGAGTTTGGATCCAAATAGATATATCTAAAATTCAAGAAAGGCACATGTGTTTTATGCATTAGGCCTGGCCTGTGACAAGATATTTGGTACCTTTTTACTTCGGTCTATGACATGACTGATGTTTGGCTTTTTGTGAACATTTCAATATATTTTCAAAGCATAATATAAGGACTATCATAAAATATGAACGATTTGTCTATTTCTTAATTATCCTTGTTTCAAAATAGGAATATAATTTCTGTCTCTAAGAAAATAGGTTTTGCCACACTAAATTATTTTCTTCACACATGCACTTGCTTTTGCAAATTAGTTTTCAGTAAATTATTAGTATATTTGAAAGCCTTTAAGTGAGAGTGATTTGGTTGATCAGGTGATGATTCTGATTTGGAGGGAGTTTGTTCTCCTAAAACTTAAAAAGTCATAGCTTTGTTTACATTTCACGCAAGATTCACGTATTCTCTGTGGGAAGCGGGGCAAGACCTCACAGACCTTCACATATAAACGGTACTTCCCACTTCGTTTTTAAGTTACATGCACTCATAGTGTCTAGAAGGGGAGAGAGAAGCCAGAAGGCCAGTTTCGTGCTGGCTTCTGGACGGTCAGGGCAGCTGCTCAGGAAACGGTCTGTGGGAGAGCAGTGAGAGGACCGCGCTGGAGCCTGGGCCTCTCCTGGATTCCCATGAGCTGAGGAAGAGACTTGACGCCTCACCATCCGGGCACATTTCCACAACAGTCTTGCTGTGGGGGTGGTGAACCCCTTCACTGGAAGCCCGTCATGGTCTGTCCCGCCTGGATTTCTGTGAAGTCACAGCCTCGCCTGTCACTCGAAGCTGATTCGAGTATCAGACATCGGAACTGTAATGTTTGACGCCATTCAGAGAGTTTGACTCTGTGTCCATCTTTATTTTGCCATATTGGACTCGGCAGGGACGATCTTTGCTCTCAAATGAGGAAACGCTGTTCTGGAATTAGCGTGTAGGGGTGTTAATGGCAGAAGTAGAGATTGTCGCACTGGGCGAAAGCTAAAAAAAAAACAACCCAAACTTAGGAATGATGACTACTGAAACCATGAAACCATGGCTCTGGAGGGAGCGCAGCGGTGGCCATCCCTGCCCGGGGAAGCAGCACGCAGGCGGCTTCTGCCCTGGCTGCTGGCCACCCAGCTCCGCCGGGCAGGAAGACCCGGGAACACCTGCTGCGAGCCCGAGCCTTGGGCTTCAGCTCCTACCCCTCGGGCATCTGACCAGCTAGCTCTGACTGATGCCAGCAAGGCACTCCACACAAAGAGTTTAGCTCTCTTTGGAAGTCAGGGTGTCATTTTCAAGTGACAGACTGCTTTTGGCCACTTCCAGGAAGGTGTCAGTAAGAACCATTGCTTGAAAGAACTGAGCTTAAAATAATCTTGAGCCTCGCCGGGAGGTGTGGATTTGTTCAAATTCAGAACTTAAGGCTGAGATCCCTGTTTTGAATTTTCACTGTGTGTGAGGTGGCAGGCAGGGCTCTGTGCTCCTTTAATGACAGTCCCATAGGGTTCCCAGTTGAGTGCCCGGCCCAGAGTAGGGCCTCCATTCCAGTAAAAACCCAGCGGGGTGCACCATTGTTCAGCTCTGCCCTAACTGCCTGGAGTCAGCTCAGACCCCACAGGTTAGTGGGCAGTCCCGACATGACTGCCTTTGCTTAACCAACAACAATTTGGGGGTCCCAGGCCAACTGCACTCCTGACTAGCTGTAAATCTGTTGTTTTTCTCTCAGGTTTGACAATTTGCTAGCAGGACTAGTAAATAAACTCAGGATAATGCTTTATTTATTATTAGAGTCCTTTTACAAAAGGTGCAAATTAGGACCGGTGACATGAAGAGACCCGTGGGCTGAGGTCTGGTAGAGAATGCAGAGCTGCTGTGCAGTTCCTTGTGAAATGAGGCTCTAGCCCCCTCCCAGTGCATTAATGCGTTCACAGCGTGGGAAGTTCCACAGACCCTCTGCCTACAGGGTTTTTAGATAGTTTCATTATTAGGCACATTTGATTGACTCAGTGGCCACACAATGGAACTCAGTCTCCAGCTTCTATCCCCAGAGGTCGGCATGGTCCTGCGGCATGGTCCGACATGGCCCCATGTTCCAACCCCCTAATCCTGTGCTTGGTTTTTCCAGGAACTGGCCCCCACTCTGGAGCTCTCCAGAGACCCTCTGCAGCCACCTCATTAGCACAACAAAGTCACTCCCATCCCTCAGGAAATGCTAAGGGTTTTACAATAAAAGCTCCTGGCCCAGAACTAGACTGTCAGCTTTTCCCCATTGAGGATGATATTCGCTGTAGGTTTTTCATAGATAGCCTTTATAAAGTTGAGGAATGGTCCCTCTATCCCTATACTTTGAATCACTTTAATCAGGAACAAATGCTGTATCTTGTCAAATGCTTTTTCTGCATCAATTGAGAGGACTATGTGGTTCTTTTCTCTTCTGTTATTGATTTGTTCTATCACATTGATTGATTTGAGAATGTTGAGCCACCCCTGCATCCCTGGGATAAGTCCCACCTGGTCATGGTGGATAATCTTTTTAGCGTACTGTTGGATCCTATTAGCTAGGATCTTGTTGAGAATCTTGGCATCCATATTCATCAGGGATATTTATCTGAAATTCTTTTTGGTGTGGTCTTTGCCTGGTTTGGAGATCAGGGTAATCCTGGCTTCATACAAGGAGTCTGAAAGTTTTCCTTCTGTTTGTATCTTTTGAAACAGCTTCAGGAGAATAGGTATTATTTCTTCTTTGAATC